TAAAGGAAGTTATCTTTCTATTCATAGTTCCTCTTTAAAAATTGTATTTAAAAAAGGTTAGATTTTTTTGAAAATTCATTTTGAATATTTCCTATACAGCAAATGTGAAATTTTGATAAACCTATTTAGAACATCTGGAAAAACAACTTGGTTACCAGTTTTTAATTTTATGATAAGAGCATCTGAAAGACCAAGATTGTGAACATTAGATGATTCAAAAACTTCAGTGACCAGGAATGGAAATCAAAGGAACTCTCTTTTACTGCTAGTAGGAATGCAAACTAAGGAACTCTCTTTTACTGCTAGTAGGAATGCAAACATGGAAAGCTGTCTGGAGGCTCCTCAAACCACTAAAAATGGAGCTTCCATATGATTCAGGAATTCCACTCCTCAGAATCTACCCAAGACACAAAAATATTAATTCAAAAAGAACACCTGCACCCCTAAGTTTATTGCAGCACAATTTATAATAGGTAAGCTATGGAAGCAACCCAAATGCCCAAAAATAGATGACTGGATCAAGAATATGTGGTATATTTACACAATGGAATTTTACTCAGCAATCAAAAAAGATCAGCGCTTGCCCTTTGCCAAAACATGGATGGAGCTAGAAGAGATTATCCAGAAAGAAAAATATATATAGAATGGTCTCACTTATAGGAGGAATGTAAATGAACCAAAAACAGAATCAAGAAATTAAAAAGTAACTATAATAAAGTAAAAATCAGAATCATCAGGCAACTATAGATCAGAGACATTCTGTAGGGGAGGGGGAAGGAGAGGATCAGGACAGGAATGGGAAGAGCATAGGTGGTGATGGTGCACGGGTAAATTGGTGGTGGGAATTTAATGGAGAAATCACACATTGTACAAAAATGAAGGATTATATAATAAATAGATTAAAAGTAAAATGAAAAAGTCATGGAATAATCAAGTTCAGCAAGGATACAGACAAATGTATGGGGGTGCAGGGGAAGTGAAACAAAATGGTGAACAGGACAACATACAAAAAACAAGGAACTGTTCTCCAACAGGTAGGACCTAAGGAAAGTATCCCATTTACATGAAGTATAGGCTGGTAAAACTATAACTCAGGGAATTCTTTCCTTTGAATTCTTATCAGTAAGCCAAACACTTTGTATATCCTAAGTTTGTGTGAATTCAGAAGAACACAATCCTATCATCTCATTAGGAATCTTGAAGATATCATAGCATCGACCCTTTCTACTAATTTATTTAGTAAAACTTCTTAACTCTATGATATAAGCGCCCCATAGGTCACCAAGTATCAATGCACAGGACAAATATAAAATGATGATTATTACTCGATACCAAAGAACTAATTAATTTACTCTTCCAGGAACTCTGAACTACTTCCAAGGTGGGAGATAAAAGTTTTTTACTGCTGACTCTAATTCTTTAAAAAGTTGCATAATAGT